TATATATATATGCAGTGAGCACGTCTTGAGGTAAAGATATCGACACTAAAGGTTTAATATAGTTCATACACAGAGTATATTACTAGTGGTGTAGCGTGTGGCCTTTTCTGCGGCACACATACAAAAAGTTGTCTTTCCTAAGTGTCCCTCACGTGAGACCCCAAATGATTATTAATGTCACATAAATTGATGAATGGTCTGGTCTGCCCAAATGTTGGCGCAGGTCTGGGCCGGACAGACTAAATTATGAACTCTAGGGTTCAGTCCAAAATCAAGCACAACCCCTTTGCTACGGTTTCATGTCATGACCCCCTGTATGACTGCTATCGTAGCTTCACTGTGTCCGAGCACTGTCGCTTAGTGAACAATACTCCAGTATAAGTCTAAAGAGAACATAAAGAAGGAAAAAGGTCCATCTATGCCAACCATCTGTGTACACGCGAGGGAAGCTTACTCTCCAAATCCCACGGTTGAAGGAGGAGTTCGGTAACTCTAACCTAAACCTCTGAGGATTGTAATCACTAGCGTAAAGCTAACTACGATCTCAATGACGCGCCGGTAACTCCGCTCCGTCCGCCGACAACTACAACTCTCTCTAGCTCGAAGACGGCTACCGCAATACTTCGCCGACTGCGCAAATGCAAAACATTTCTCCACCTTACGCTTGAAGCGTGCGCACTTGTCCTCATCCAAGAATATGCGCTTCAAAAGCGTGGCATACTGCTTATGAAGTACATGATTCGCCCAAGATCTTGGGACCAGAGCCATGTAACAATCCAGATCCGCCTCATCGCACCACATTTGCCAGCCGCCCCCACACCAAAATCATGGCGCTAGACCACGTTTGTGCCTTCTTAGTGCACCTTAGGTAATTTCCGATCGCCTGTTTGAATCCATCCGTTATTTCGCAGAACAGAGAATTATACAACAACCATTCCGCAAATGGACCATTCAGTCGATACCGAACTGTTGTCCAAGCATTCGCTTATTTCGAGAGCTATCGGATGTGGGGCTTAAATTCAGTTCGCAAAAATTTGCAATGAGAGCCGTCTGCCATCGTCGCTACATGAGTGAGTGATGTCTGCTTCGATATTACCTTCGCTGTCGCAACCTATACGATACCTGAGAACCCACCGGAAGCAATGGCACATCTTCTCACTTGATGTTGGCGCGACTTTGCTGCTTCAGCTGAGACCTAGTGCCCTTCTCAGATTCCAACAGCGACAGTACCCTGTCCCGCAGCTCCAACCACTTCTGACCGTTGAAGTTTCTGCCCGTCATGTGCAAGCACGGGCAAACCTCTGAGACTGAGTTTCGCGTGGCATTGTACACCCGCAACATCTCGTAGACTAGATTCAACCACGCGTACGAGGAGTCATCCACTACTTCGAACTCCCTGCACAACCAGTTCTTCATCGTCCTGACTAGGGTTACTCGTGAACCAGTGCGGATCAATACTATGTGGCTCGCATAATGTCATCACATTCCCGTTCTGGAACTTCTTATCCGCGTCAAGAACTAAACGCGCTGGAGAACCCTACGTCAGTGCTTGTTCTTCCACTGACGGACCATCTGCGTTTGGATCAAGGACTCGCAAACACCATGCGAATCTGCGTGTCCACTGCTAGCAGCACCTTGGACTGACCGTTCACCATGTCGAAATCAATGAAGACTATGCTAATCTCACGCATGGCATTCTCAGGACGACGTGCCAGCAGCAGCAAACCCTTATCCACCCTTTCCCCTCTCGGACGAGGAACGGCATTTACTGTATCCTCTTACACCATGCAAGAAACCACAGCATCTTCATATTATGCTGTCACCGTAGCTAACATCTCGAAGATAGAGCGCTTAGCTCCCAATCTTTCCCAAAGGTCCTTGCGCGAGTTGTGCAGCCTGTAAGGACTCATGTGGCATACCAGCGCTATAAACTCTGGTGCAGGCATGGGCACACGCCCATGCTCTAGGAATATTCCATCTGATAGATAGATAACCTACAGGTCAGCCAAACAAGGCGGAACAATCTCCTCAAGCCACTTCGCTTCAGGAGTATACGAACAAACCAACATGATCGTTGCCTTGTCCCTCCTGTTCCTAGTGATCACCTTGTCTAGGTCCAAAAACTTCGGATTGAAGTACCACCTGGTGTGCAGTAAAAGGGGTTCATCCAATAGTTGGCCGGGCGCGTTAGACCTTCCGCATCAAACGGGCTAAACATCTCATAGACCTTGGTAAACCAACTCTTGCCTGGCGCATTTGATTCAGTCTTAGGCTCCACAGCCACCAGATCATTCCAAGGGACCCGCTCTTCCACCGGCGCTGCCCGCACCTGCATTATGGAATCAATGTGATACCTCAGACACAATTACCCATCGGTCACAGGATTCAACTCCCGGTATGTGCTTGAGTACTATGTCAGATATCTTTCAGCACCTGCGCACACCAGGCCATCCTTCTGCCCTTACCGCAGAGTCGTTAAAGAGCGGATCCATTTTCAGCATCTTAACCAGTGACTCATGATCTGTGAAGATCGCGAGCGGATAATGGGTCTTCCTGACAACGCGCCATGATCTGTGGAAATTATACACAAAGGCCAAAGCCTCCTTGTTCGTGATTGACAACCTGACTGGGCCGGGCTAGCTTTTGAACCGAGCACAGTTTCTTCTCGCGCCCAGTACATGTCTCCCCATCTGCGTACCGATAGTCACGCGCTGCCGAGTTGGAAAGCAGTGCCTATCTTTGAGTGTAACCCTTGTCAGATACCAAGAGATGTCGGATGAAATATTGGTGTGTGCAGAGCCAGCCGAAGATGAGAATCTGAACGACGAACCGAAGGCGGTGACCGAGGCGGTGGCTAGCACAGGATCAGCCCATATGTGCAATCTGAACATGACGATAGTGATTGGGTCGATATGTCCAGAATATCAGGGCCAACATGGGGCCTGCCAACGACGGCAATCCATGTACAGATACTGGGGGCACGTTGTTACCCAAGATTAACCGTAGTGTGGAGGGTCACAGTCTGCTGAGGTGCAGAGGATGGATGGGTCGTTGGATGTGCTATTTATTTACAAGTTGTACTATATTCAATCGTAAATAAATTGAGTTTTATTTGTGGTAAAGCTTCAAAATTTGTGTCATAAAAAGCCTTGAATTTTTCTTTAAATTGACATAGACCTTAAGTTGAGGTGGCTCAAAAACCAATAACTTTTGGTAGCATAATGCAGTGAAAGCTTTGTATTTATTGCTATACAGTAAGCTGTACGTATGCAAGATGTTACACCCACCTTTACACATGAACTAGTTTGATAGCTCTACGTGTTCGTATTTATATTGTGAACATTTTGGTATACCTTGACATTTGGAACTTGTGCTCAAAATCCCACCATGTTTTTCTTACATTTTTGATAGTCTGTGTTTCACATGGCACTCAGTATAGAGTGTCTCCTGTGATGTAGAAACATAATAAGTAGTCCTTCGAGAACTTTTGAGGAATGATAGTCTAGCATACAAATCTTCGTTGTATCGCATAGGTTGTAAATGAATCTTCACACGGTGAACTCGGGGTTTTATTTCGTATTTCAGGCACCAGTATTTTTGGTCAACTTGCCAGTTTGCAATTAATAGCATCTCCGTCGGCGCTCCTGGCTACCATTGTGTAAATGTATCAGCTAATACAACGCCTAGTGGCACGAGACTGGCTCAAGGAATAGCACCAGATGGTACTGTAAGGAATGGAACGTTAAATACAAACCGTCACTTTAGTACAACAACTTTAGTCGCCCCCCCCCCCCCCCCCCCCTTCCCTCCAAGCCAACACCCATACCACCCCGCACCACACAAAAACCGCACGATGTACGAACAAACATCGCATTATAGATAAAAGTGTACAGGGTATATATGCAACAAACTGGTAGCTGCTAATATTCTTCGACTATCACAAATGAAGAAGTGAGACATCGACGCAAATTCTACGTATGGTTGGCGTTGCGCGTACTTTTACCGTATACGTCTAGCAATTCCTTGACCAGTAGTAATTGGTAATCTGGTACAGTCTAAAGGTTATCGTACAAAGATTTACTGGCGCACACCGAATTTGTACGGGAGAGATCCATATCAAAATCATCGATGCGTAACTCTATGATCTGATAAAGTGTGCTTTTTCCATAGATATGGAATTACTGCGAAATTAATGTTAATATATACTGCCGATCGCCCCTTGTTATAGTAATCATAATAAACTACAGATAACGAATCTGGTATCCTTTAGCATCAGCGAGTCTGTACATTTGTTCTTCTTCCCTGTGATCGGTGACATATGTAGCAGAACAGATACCAAAGTATTGTGCATCTTGAATGCAAGTAGATAGTAGCCGATCTTACCGGGTACGGCCTTCCCATCGTAGTTGGATTAATCTTTGTTATGTTTCCACTCCAAATAAGGGGTTATCCTCCATTTGATTCTTAATTAACTATATCTCAACGTTCTCCCTCCTTAGAGAGGGAGACGTTGTTCATTTATTAGCAATTGTAAAATTCATGACTCTAATTATGAGTCATAAGTCATGTGCTGTAATAGTCAGCAAAAACTAAGTTTATCAGATTTTTCTGATAAACTATAAAAACTGTAATAAAGCTAAAATAAACCTAAGTACTTGTATTCTGCCCACATCTGTCAGATGCCACGTTTTTTTGGCAATGAACATATCATACAACCCAAACGTAAGTAGGTCGTACAAAACTCGTAGAACCGAGAATCCACTATCCATAATACAATCTTTCAAACTATTGTACTGTAGACATAGAGAATGCTTGATAATAAAGTCTTACCTTAGGTTCTCATAAATCTATTCGGAAGATCACATTGGTTTGAAGGCAGGCAATAGTCTTCCATTCATTGTCGTCCTGTTTAGGTTTGCGTGGGCAATGAATCTATGTGTACCCCGCACGAATATCCCATGACATCATAATCTCGTTTATACATTCCTTTTCACTGCATAGAAAGTGTCGATCCATGTTCTTTTTCCATGCTTCCATTCTTTCTCTCTTGTAATATCCCTTATTATTGCGTTCTTGTTCCGTTACTGGTGGCATTCCCAACTGAGAGTTCTTTCAAACATCTCCATATCTTGGTCTATTCGTATACAGCCCTAGGTATGGTAATAGAAAAAGGGACCACTTGGCGGTTTTCAAAGAGCACTATTACATATCAACCAAGGTAACTGGTGACATATTTAAAACTCTTCATAAATAATTTAATAGCACACGTCCCAGTTGTAGATGCGACGGACCAAAATTTGAGGTGAACGACTTTAGAATAGGAAAAATATCTTAGTCGAATAGATAAGTATATACAACATGCAGGACACAAATACAAACTACGAAGCACCCACATGGATACATATGGTAGGAAAGCATGACAATTTGCAGAGATGTACACGGACATATACATACAATGAGGTATAGTGATATAATCATGCGTTATCTGATCACTCACATCTACGATTGCACTATAAATTTGTTTGTTCACATATAGTTCTACCAATATATTCGTTGACATGTTGACTACACTTGAGAGACTAATCAATAGTTGGCCCACAAGTTACGCAGCTCCATGTATATAAATGGCAGCTATTATACATTATTTTCAATATATGCATTTACACCGAAAGAAGTATACACACATGAGAACATACTTTCGTAGATACAAACAAAGGTATGATCAGCACAATCTTGCGCCATGCACATACATTACAGAAATTTAAATACTATCATGATAGATAATCTATGCAGCAATTAACCATGATATGAGGTATTCTGTAATATAAAACAATGTACATTTATATGATCACTTGCAGGCAGATTAAGTTAGTAATTCACATGCATATATCGCACACAAACACAGCGGCTAGATTGAATGTGTGAAAAGATATAGTTGCTAATTAAATCTATCAAAGAACAGCTCAAAAACCAATACCGGGAAATGCGTCAATTCAAATGCCTGTGGATTGAACTCGTTGAATCGAGTGAATATTCAAATGCGCGAAGGTCAGCTGGTGTACGACAATCGAAAATGACATTTGAAAGGACACTAGATGAATACTTCGAAGCGTTGTGAATACAAACA